TCAAAATCAGTATTTGTTTTTGCTACTGCTGAAGAAAATGCTTTAAAAATTGTTTTTAGAATTATATTTCAGACAGCTCGTTCAAATGATTCATTGATAAGGCGTTAATTCATTATATTTTGACAAAATACGATTTTTGCACATGTTTAAAACAAAACCCTATATCTGTCTGTTTCTCCAAAAAAAAAAACACTTTTGGACTTAATCCTCATTTCGACGTGATGGTTCACATTTATGCTGGAATGAAAATGATTAGTTGTTTTTTTTTTCTTTTTGTTTTTTGCTCTGAACCTAGAGCAGAAAGACATCAACACTACATCTTTGTTCATTTATCGCAACTCATATCGTCATCACAATATCAAGCACTGTTATCGCACATCGCAGGTTTTCCGTAATTTCAGTCAACATGCATTTCATTGTTTTTGTCCAAGGAAACCCTTTTTCTAGTTTAGTTTAGTTTTCTAGTTTTGTTTTCCTGTTTTGCTTTATTTCCTTTCATTTGCAGTTTTATTTTAAAATGGCACAAAGAGGAAAAAAATAAGAAATGCGCATCAAACATGTATCCATCAATTGGTTTGAAGCAAGGCCCTGTGATGGACTTGCGACCTGTCCAGGGTATACCCTGCCCCTCGCACTGTGACTGCTGGATATGGGCACCAGTGACCCACGCGACCCTGAAAAGGAAGAAGCGTGTACAGAAAATGGATGGATGGATGGATGGTTTGAAGCAAATCAACCAGGCTACCCAAAGTGTGATTTTAGTGGCTGCAGCTGGACACTCCTCCCGCTGTCGGCATCTTCCAGGATATTCTCGTAACGTGAAGAGAATTGCATCTCAAGACAGCAGTAACATCATCAAAACTGGTTGATATGACAGAATAATTACAACTTTCCCGATTGTAGCAATACATTCTTGATAATAGTGGTGTAAGAAAATATTGATACACTGAAATATCATGACATTTCATTTCCCGATACTGTATCGATATTCTAAAGCCCTGTATCGATTTTTTATTAAGGTTTAAAATGTCAACTTTCCTGCCAGCTGTTCATTTTTATGTTGTAGTTCAGCCTCTGACCACTAGTTGGCAGCAGTGAGCCAGACATTTGGCTCCTCTACCTCTTGAGGTAGAGGCTATTGTTAACTGTTGGGTGACCATATTGTAAATTAATATTAAAAACTAAAAGCTGCAAAAAATATATTTTCAAACTATTTATTGTCAAATTTAGTCTAATTAGTGAAAACATGGATGGAATAAGAAATAAGAAACAAATAAAATAAAACACATACAAAGCAGAACATAGCTAAATGTATCAAAAGTATGTCTATGTAATATTAGAATTTTCTGAGACAATGAATTTTGGTTTTTCATTTTTCCCCAGTAAGAGGTTTTTATTTAATAGAATTTTTGGACAAAAGAAATCGCAATATATCGCCTTGCTTATAGTATCTCAATATATCGGGATATATCGTATCGTGAYCCCTCTGTYATGAWATRTATCRTATCGCCAAATTCTTGCCAATACACAGCCCTACCTGATAACTCCTCTCCATTATCCTGAGAAGTGTGTCCCTGTGAGTTTACAACTTTACTTCCTGTTTACTACAGCCATGTGTGAACAGCTGCTCGAGGTAAACGTTTGCTACGTCAGAACTAATTTGTCATGTGTTTCCATTTCCCCTTCTGTGCGTTAACTCTGTTTTGAAAAAGCCAAATACAACCTCAAGTGAGCATAAAACCTTTTTTGCAAAGTGGAGCAATTTTTTTTTGAAAATTGCCTTTTAAAATGCACATAAAAACAAAACATTACTGGAAACACAGCTTCTGTTAGTCTTCAGCTAGCTGTCCTTCATTTTAACTTTTAGTTGTTATTGCTACTTTTGACTGTTAGCTAGTTTTTATCTTATTTTTCTCCTAGTTAATCAGGAATAAGATTGTGGAACAGCATGGAAGATGAGGTTAAAAATGCCAGATCCTTGTATATATTGAAGAGAATGATAAAAACTAGTATTCTGAAGAAATATGGAGAATTATAAGTGAATTCCTGCCAATTGTTTTTTGAATTGATGTCTTTTTATTTTTATTTCATTTTTAAATGTTTTAAGTTGTTTTGATTTTTGTTGTATTTTTACTTTTCTTTTGAACAAATTTTGGTTATAAAAAGGGGCAGATACATTATAAGATTTATTCTTCTGCTGCTGCCTTTAATTTTATTTGATTTTATTTTGATTGCATGTTTTTCTGTACTTTGTTAATCTGTTAAAAATTAAATGAATAAAGAACTACTACTAGTTGGCTTTTTCTACTTTTAGTCRGCATTGGATTAATTTTAGCTTTCAGCTAACTTTTGCTGCTATTAACGATTGTTTTGCACTTAGCTTTTAGTTATTCCTTTGTCGTTTTAAACTAGCAATAGGCTACTTTTAGCTTGCAGCTACTCTTTTAACCAGTGCCTAAGGTTTAAGCTGGTGTTTTAAACCAGTGGTTCCCAAACTTTTCAGCTTTGTACCCACAAAATACCAGCAGCAGAGACCTGAGACCCCCGCTGTTGTTGGTTAATAAACAGTTTTCACGTCAGATAAACAAGGACATGGTAACAATATTCATTAAGCTATTTCTGTCCAATGTAAATRCACTAACCATACTCTTTTGTAACAACAAATGCATAAAAAGTTTGTTACTTCTCATTTTTTAGTGTAATCAATTCAGAAAATCTTTTCAGGACCCCACCTTTATGTTTCAGGACCCCACCTTTATGTTTCAGGACCCCACTTTGGGTCCCGACCCCAACTTTGGAAACCACTGTTTTAGACCATCTTTCTGATAAATTTTATTACTCGCATTGATATTGAAATTATATCGTATCGACTTAGTTAGGAGTTATATCACAATACAAATTTTGAACATATCTTCCAGCCCTAAATGAGGGTATTTACTGGTTTTCTTACTGGTCTGGACACAAGCAGCTAAAGTGAGCTTCTTCTATAAGGTGGCAGACTTCCTGTTTTTGACATGGAGTGAGCTGAGCTTCTTCATCCATGGGGATTCTTAGAGTTGAACTGCCTGGGGTGGTTTACATGTCTGATTAGGATTCCTCCTGGACACCTCCTCTGGAGTTCCTTTGGGCCTGTCCCATTGGGGGCAGACTCTGGGGCAGACCCAGAACTTTGTAAAGGAATTCTATATCCACTTCAGGTTATACCTTGAGATTCCCCAGGAAGCTTATAATATGTGATTTACAGTAGTAGTTCTATTAGAAGTGTTCTCAAGAAGGAGAGGAGTCATGTCCTGAAGTTGGAAACTGTTGTATCTTAATCCTGGTCTTTCGACTGGAAGTAATGAGAGCAGCTCAGCTTCTTCCAGTTCCATGCAGAGCAAGCAGTCTGCACGAAAGCACATCTGTCCTGAGGGAACTGTTCGGTCCAGATACCCCCTGTGAAGCAGCTAGAGATGAGGCAAAAAGAAACAAAAGAACTGGATCAGATAAAAACAGAGATACAGCCCTTACAACATGTTTGGCTTCTTTCTTTAAGAGAAATGTAGTCCACAAATTATATTGATTAACAATGTGAGTTTAAAAAAATCTGTTGCTTACCTGAATTTTGAAGTTTTCTAAACTTTGGAAACTATCAGAACTTTTATCATGTCATCTATTCCGTCAAATAAATAAAAAAACTTTTTTTCCTTGAATGAAGTCATTTTTTCCCCACACAGAAATCTGGAATAGAGTTCTTTTTTTCTCAATAATATATTTTGTTTGAGCTCCACCTGCTCCCAATCTTCTCCGCTGGGATGCAATTCTGTCCCACAGAGAAACGTACTCCACTGGTTCATACNGCCACAACATGTACATATTTTTTGTCAACATGAAGCAAAGGCTTAAAAAGAGCTGCGGATAACCAATATAAATATTGAATAAGACAATGACCTCAGCTAATTATCTAATGACAGTCGTCAGTCTGATGGGGGAAAAAACGTATATTTTTGTTGTTTCGTAGTCACAACATCCATAGTAACGTTGACAACTAAAGTATAAAGAGAAATATGTATTGTGAGAGTTAGGGATGCACAGTATATCGGCTTTAACATTGGTATCAGTCCGATAAGTAAAAGTGGGCCAATATTAACATCCGATATTGATTTCCCGCTTGTTGCCATTTTGTGTTTTTGTTTTGGGAGGGGAAATAGTTGGTCGAGTAGTATCTATTTGATCATGATACTGATATTGACAATGCACAGCCAGGAATAACTGAAGTAGAGAGCCATGTCAGTGGTCTAGTCATTTTTCATAGTATCAAAAAAATACACAAGTTTGTGTGTATGTATATATAAATAATTTAGTTTTTGTGATATCGGTAAATATCGGTTATCGGCCATAACAGTGTTATTAATATCGGATATAGATATCGGCTGAAATTTTCATATTGGTGCATCCCTAATGAGAGCTGATGTGTCGACTTCTTAAAGGGGTGTCTTATTTTGTAACAAAGTAATATAATTATTAGGCTTTGTGCCTTTTGAAATTGGAGCTAAAAATAAATGGTGAGGTGTTGGGTCTAGAGTTGAATTAGTGCTGGGTGGTATACCGTTTTGTACCAAATACCGGTTTTTATTTTTTGTTATATGAATTTTTTGAATACCGCACATTCCAGTTTAAA